TTCCCTTCCCGATGCTGCTTCTCCTCCCTGCTTGGGGTAGATCTCACGGGCACTCTGCCACCGAGGGTAGCTCCGACTTGCGTGATGTATAGGATGAGAAGGAGATGAAGCCGAGGGGCTTTGGATGTCGGTGGGACTGTGGATGTCGCAAGCGGTACCTGGTCCGAGTTCAGGGCTTCGAACATGGTCCAATTTAGATACCAGGGAGCCGCGACTATGCAGGTCTGCGCCCTAAGACAATGGGAGCGCAGGGGATTCTGTAAGTGCACCGTTACGGGTCAGCGCCGCTTCATTGTTCCCGGGGCTGCGATTGGCTGAGACACAATACGACGCCGGGATAATGAAGTGTGCCATCGGCAGGGGGGCGGGGGTTATGAAACGCATCATCTCCCAACAATGAGGCTTTGTTCGAAGCCGCGCATTGCCCCAGCCAGTGCTGCAAAGGTGCCCGGGTACTTGTAATGGCAACCTGCCCGCCACTTGTTCCTTCCTGTTGCACAGTGCATCTGGATGGAAAGAAGCCCTGCTCTTGAAGCATCAACAAAAAAAAAAATTCATTTTGCATCTGCGTGGCTTGCAGATGGAAATAGAAATCCTGCTTTGCTCAGATGTGTGTGCTAGGAAGTCTGGCCCTGCCATGCCAAGAATAAGCTTGCTGGGTTTCCCATCCCCCGCAAGCTGCATAAGGACCTTGTTGCATTTTCAAGGATGCTTCCCTGCTCTTTCAGAAGCCCTTTATTGGCTAACATGCATTATGGAAGAGCACTACACACACTTTGTCAGCCTCTGAATGCAAAAGCAAGCTCCAGTTCCTGGTTCGCCCATCAAGCACGTTGGCAAAATAGCAGGCTTAAAGGCTCCAGCAGCTCCGCATAAAAGTTGTCTTTATTATCTTACTTGCTATAGCGACTGTTAAAAATACAAACTAAGTGGATTCTAGTCTTGCAAAGCACCCTTGCACCGAGGCGAGGGGGTCTGGGAGCAGATGGGGAATAAGTTCATTGTTGCCAAGCAAATTCTCGCCTCCCCTGAATCCTTTCTGAATATTGCCCACCACGGAGGATTGTCCCTCCTTTGAGAGAGAGACCACATGGGGGGGAGTGGGCGCGAACCAGAGGAGAAAAATGTGCGGGTGAATAGCCACAAATGTTCAGGGTTGAGAGCCAGCGGCAGGGCCAGGATGGCTCGCCGCTACCCCAGCTTAGCGGGAGCGACAAGGTTTGCTTTTGTTCTCGGGGTGCTTGCTTAATCAGGCGGTCTCGTTCTGATTTTCTCTCTGCGCACTTCATCACACAACTTTCATGTGCGGGCTCCAGCTGCAGCGCATCTTGTTAAAATGGCCTTGTTCAAACACAGGCGTCGATATATTTATTTATTTTTTGGTTTTTTGTTCCCCAGAGCTGCAATATCAGTATGGATGGAGTGTAAGCCTGGAAAAAAATCAAAGGCACCCCAGTCCTGTGTATTTTATAATTCATTGCATAGCTAAGTTACAGAATATTTTCCCTCTAACAAGCTTGAAGACTGCCTCCGTATCCAAAGGCGTGATACCCGAGCTGACACTTGTAAGGGCTCGAAACCCCCCACTCCTTTCCTGGCGCCCTCTGTTCTCCGCTTGATGATTGAAGGGCTTTCCTGGTCCTTATTATTATTGCAGTCGTGCATTTATTTTGTACCAGAGCGCTCTTCAAATAAAAATTTAAAAAGCCGCTGCTTTCGCTGCTGCCTCAGTGCATTACAAATGGCAAAAAAAAAAAAAAAAAAAAAGTGTCTCGTGGGATTTTTAAACAGTGAGGTTAACAAACAGAGCAAAACAAAGCGTGGTATCGGAGCCTTTCTCTTAATTGAATCCCTGGTTAATTTGCTCATCCGTTTAATTTGCCCAAACTCCAGATACCTAATGATTTGCACTAAAAATAGCATTGTTTCCATGTTTTGTTCTGGGGTTTTTTTTTTCATTCCGATCACTTGGAGTCGCGGTGGGTAATTTGGTCACTGAAAATACAAGCTTGGCAATTTGAGTGGGGGACAAACCCAAAAGCCCCCTTTCATTTGGTAACCAAGGGGGGCGATTGAAGATGTTACAGCTGTGGCGTGCATCCCCTGTACGGATGCTATAGCGGGGGTATAGGCATGCATCCGTATAGGTTAGATCAGCTGCTTACCTTGACCGCAGCATCCGTGCCTCTGAGCTGGGCCAGGCCCAATGTGCTCGATTTCTTCCACATGGTGGTTTTCAGATGCATGGCTTAAAATTACTTTTAGCTTAAACAAGGTTCTGGGGTTGCCCAGGTGTCTGGGAGGTATAAATTTGGAGACTGTGGAGTTCTCCAATTATAATAGGCATGTGTAATTAAGCTTGTGCTAATCTTCAGTACTGCTTTTGAGCAAGAAGGGAAGGGACTAATTGACTTTAAAGGTCCCAGTCTGAGTTGGCACGGCAGAGCAGGGGGGGAAACCACCGTGGAAATGGAGCAACCTTCATCTGGGAGTTGGTGAAGGACAATAAATGCAGAGTCCAGTTTGCATAATGCCCGTTTTAAGCGCCTCATGCCTGGTTCTGGTATTAAGGCTAATACTGGGGAGTAGGTGTGGGTACCTCTGTCTCCCTAAAAGCTGCTGGTATCTCCTGCGGAAGTATTTGAGGTGGAAGAATGGAAACGGTGGTGGTAGCCGGGCTGTCCCGAATGACTGACACAAACACCTTCACTTAGTGGAACGCGTGTTACCCAAGTCCACGGCCCCTTTAGGTCTCTTGGCTGCCGTGTTCAGGAGGAGGTGTTTGCAGCCTCGTAACGTGGGATTTGGACAGGGAGCTGCAACCTATGAATGACTTGCAACAAACCCTCCATCTTCAGTGCCCACGCTGCATCAGGCATGGTCTGATGGTGGGGCTCTGAAGAATTGGGGCTGCTCAGCCCACTTGGGACATGGGCACACTTACCAGTGTGCGAGTCAGTGCAGCACTGGGGCAGGGGAGTCGTCAGGTGAGCTACGCTTTAAAAACACGTGGTGTCTTGATCCACGTGTCTGGATGGCGATGCACCGGAGCTAGGGTGGAGAGAGGCTCTTCAGCACTGCCGCTGCCAACGTGCGCTGTTTTAATTCCCCAGGTTCCCCCCCGGAAGCACAGCCCAAATACATTAAAGGCGGGAAGCGCTATGGCAGGCGGTCCTTGCCCGAGTTCCAGGAATCGGTGGAAGAGTTTGCCGAGGTGACTGTGATCGAGCCGCTGAATGAAGAAGCACAGCCCGCGCACATCGCTTCCAGCGACTGCCACGAGGTAAAGGCGGGGGAGAGCTCACGGGGAGCAAAAAACCTGCGCTGCTGTTGGAAAAGGGGCTCTGCTGGGGACCAGAGAGCAGCGTTGATGGGGTACGGGAGGGAGGAGAGCAGAGCAGAGAGTAGCCAAAGTGTCTCCCTTTCTTTCCCCCCAGTTGCTTAACACGGTACAGGCTCACCCGCTCATCCTAGATGTAAAGGATCCGGCTCCATTCAGTGCTGAGCTCTGTATCGGAGTCAGCCCGAGGGAACGTGCTGCAGAGACAGCAGATTGGAGCGCACTCCCTTCCTTTATAGTGCTGCGGGGTTTGAGCGCTGTTCCTCCCACGTGGGTCCGCGTTTGGGGCTGTACAAAAAGGGGTGACTGCTGAGCCTCTACGAGCAGTGCATGGTACTGGAGAAGAGAGCAGCACACCAAAAACTCTGCCTGTAGCGCGCTTGTTAACTCCTGCTTTTTGGAAAAGGCCCTTCTCGGTGCCCGTTTCATAGTTATTGGGGTTGGAAGGGACCTATTAGATCGAGTCCGACCCCCTGCCCTGGGCAGGAAGAAGTGCTGGGGTCAGATGATCCCAGCCAGGTGTCTGTTGAAGCACTGTTGACTCTTCCTCCTGTGGAGTGAAATGTTGGCTCGGGGATGAGCAGGTGAGACATCCACACGTGCACAACAAATCCGGCGAGATGGGTGGCAGTGCCAGCTACATCCTCCCATAGCAATCTGAGCACGCTGCATCCTGAGAGGTCCGGCGGTGCCTGTTCACCGAGCAAATTATACGGCTCTGCTACTAGCTGTTGCAACCAGACTTCTCCACAAGCGTTACTTTTCCCACAGTGCTGTAATGGTCTTATCACATTCCCACAGCGGTGCTGTGACCGCTCCTTACCCTTTCTTATTATGCATCATCCTTCTTCCAGAGGGACTTTTGCTAAGGATTTCTTGCTCACAAGCTGTACAGCAGGCTGCAGCAGTGACTTCAGCTTGCTCAGGGCAGTGGGAAGGGTGGCCTGGCTTCGAGTCGTACAAGTTAAAGATCTGGGAGCTGGAGGAATGCAGGGTAAGAGGAGGAACAGGCATTAAAATAGGCTAATGCATATTAAATCGCATGTGTAGACGCTCCCTTTCAGACTGGCTGCTCACACTGCAGGAAAATGTGTTACCTTTTCAAGTCATGTAAGACTGTTGTAGCTGGTGTTCCAGAAATGATGTGAAGGTGAAACTATGCCAAAAAGGATTTCTTTGGGCGATATCCTGCATTGAACCAGCTGCATAGTTGGGATAAAGTTAGGCAAGCTTTCTAGTGTAAGACATTCTTCATCAGGTGATTGAAGACCCAAGGAAGAATGCCTTGCATTGGAAAGATCGTCTAACCTTCTCCCAACTACATAGTTATTATGACTACTAATAACTACAAGATATTGCCCTAAGAAATGCTGACCTTTTACATATACTTTCAGTAGAAAAACCGGGACCCCGGGACCCTGGCTCAAGGTGCTTGCCTGTGATGACGTGCTTCTCTGAATCCCCCTGTTCTCCAGTCCTACTTTGCCCTACAGCTTTGCAGATCAGGAGGTGCACGGCAAGTCTGGGTCCCTGGGGAAGGAGCTGGCTTCTCTGATCGGGTGCTTGTGGTGCTTGCACTTACCAGCACGGGGAGACTTGTCCTTCTCTGCCGCACGTGCTGCCCTGACCTTGCAGTCGATGGCAGCGCACCTCCCCGGGGAGTGCTGCTTCATTGGATCCCTTTCCATTAGTTGTGAAACAGGTGCTAAAGGTTAGTCAACTAACAAGGATAGCCGACTACATGAATTGGTCCGCAGCCCCCCCTGCCTTCCTGACCTGTGCTGTTGCAAGCACTTCATGAGAGAGAACCAGTCCCCAACGCGACTATTGCCGCTGGGATGAGTTTCTCCAATGTTGCCTCTCGCCCTTCTTCCAGGCGCTGAGCTGGTGTCTTAGACCCGGAGCGGAGTTCGCTGGTGTGAGCTCACAGGCTTGCACGCAGCTCTGGTTTTTGAATTACGGCCGGGTGCCTGGGGCTCCGTGGTAGATCTGAACAGGCTACAGCGCTGTTGAAAAGCCGTGCCCCTGCTGAGCTGGTGCAAGCTCTGCCCAGCTCTAGGGTATAACGCTCCCCGTCCGGAATTCCTCCTCGTCAGGCGTTCCTCTTGGGCACGGAAATGTGTAGCAGACTTCATGGCGCAGGGCTCTCTCTGAGTGCGCCGTGTTGTGCAGACCTCTCCGGACAAGGGGCAGGAGCCCGCCTGGTGTGGTTTTTTTTCAGTCCGTGCCATTAGAAAACTTCCTCTTCCACGCTGGAGGGAAGTCGC